CCTCAGAGGGAAATTTATACTGGTGAATTCACACATAAGGAAAACAGAAAGAGAACAAATAAATAGCCTAATGCTGCATCTTAAACTTTTACAAAAAGAACAAATCAAGCCAAAAGCCCAAAGAAGGGAGGAGAGTATAAAGATTAGGGCAGAAATTAATGCAACTGAGACAAAGATAAACCCTCCAAAAAATAAATGAATCAAAGAGTTGGTTCTTTGAAAGAATAAGTGAAATTGATAAACCCTAGCCAACCTTACCAAAAAAAGGAAGAAAGAAATCAGATTCATGCAAAAAGGAAAGAAAAGGAGGAAATTACTACAGACTCTACAGAAATTCAGAAGATCATTAATACCTACTTTGAAAATCTACTCCCATAGGATAGAAAACTCAGAAGAAATGGACAGATTCCTAGATATGTATGAATTACCAAGGTTGAGTCAAGAAGACATAAAATAAGCAAAACTACCACTATTTGCAAAGGACATGATACTTTAAATGGAAGAACTCAAAAACTCCACAAGAAGACTCTTTGAATTAATCAACAAATTCAGCAGTGTAGCTGGATACAAAGTCAACACCCAAAAATCGATAGCATTCCTATACAAAACAACAAACAGACTGAGAAATTAAGGAAACCATATCTTTCACAATAACATCCAAGAAACTAAAATATTTAGGAATCAATCTAACAAAAGAAGTAAAAGATCTATTCAATGAAAACTACAGTACTCTGAAAAAAGACATCAAAGAAGAGTTCAGTAAATGGAAAAATATTCCTTGCTCATGGATAGGAAGAACCAACACTGTGAAAATGGCCATACTCCCAAAACTGCTGTACAGACTCAAAGGAATTTCCATTCAACTACCATTAGCACACCTTACAGATCTCGAGAAAACATTCCTTAAATTCATCTGGAACTAGAAGAGACCCAGAACAGCAAAAGCAATCCTGGGCAACAAAACAAGGACAAGCCAGGTGGAATCACAATCCCTGACCTGAAATTATACTATAAACCTGGTACTGGATAAAAAATAGACCTGAGGATCAA